CACTTGCAAGGCAATCTGCAATGTAAAGCATGTGCTCATTCTCGAAGTCGGACTTATGTCAGAGCTCAAGGGGACTTGGTGTCTCAGCAAAAGGCCTGAAAGTCAAACTGCAGTCAAGCTAAGCTTGCCCTTCAAGCGGGCTGGGACCATGGCATAGGCTGCGGGCAACAGGTTTTCTAGTATACAAAAGCCCACTGTGGACTCATTCGAGCCGTGGTGCTTAGTACTATTATTACTATTATTACTACTATTACTTCTATTACTACTACTACTACTAATACTACTACTACTATTACTACTATTACTACTGTTACTACTAATACTACTATTACTACTATTACTACTGTTATTACTAATACTACTATTACTACTATTACTACTACTATTACTACTACTACTACTGCTGCTACTGCTGCTACTATTACTACTACTACTACTACTACTACATTATTTGTCTTGGTTTCATTGTTGCCATGGTCAGCGGAGGTTGGGTGCCCTGGCGGATCCCAGTGCGTGCGCAGAGAAGGCAACTGCGCCGGCAAAGCAGAAGAAAAGAATTATGCAATAGATGTGCTAAGCAAGAAAGTGACAGAAATGGGGTGCAAGACGTGCGTAGCAGCGAGAATATAGGAATACAGTTTCTCCGTAGAAAAGTAGTCGTAGCACCTGCCATTGTCCGCGTGTAGTGGTGGTTGTAGAAGGAGGAGCAGGAACAATGGCGGCGTTTGTTTGTTGTTGCGGCGGTGGGTTGTGGTGGTGCTAGTAATGCTGGGAGTAGCGGGAAATACACCCACTGCCCAAGGCGACGGCGCCTGATTTCTGCATTAACCCAGGAAGCATCACTGCGTCCTTTGCTCAGACCGGTGTCTTGGTTAAGCATTTCAGGCTTGTTGCCAGACATGCCTTGGTCCTGTGGGAACATGAGACTGTGAATCTGAGAATCATTCCTGGACCCGCAACGGCTCTAAAGACTCGCTTACGTGTTGACGAGCTTTGCAGTCCGATGCTTTGTCAAAGGCTTTCAAAGATGTCAGGCAACACTAGCAGACTACGGTGGATATCGGTGGGTTTTTCAGTGAAAGGCAGGACTAGGGCAGCCACGAACTTCCATGCGCTCTTGCTACAGTGCTTTGCCCGAAGCACTTCGGCAAAAAGCTAGTGGGCCATGATGCCTCGATGTCCGAACAGTTGCGAAACCGCCCGCCTAAGAAAGAGCTGTACTTGTGTCTCATGACGCCGTAGACGCGGGGGGTTGTGCTTAACTTGCATTACCGGGTATCTTTCCAAGAACGCGCGGTGAGGACGGAAGTCACAGCACACGACGTGAAGCCATCACATCCCCCATCGTCAACACCCAACCTAGAAGCATAGACGCTCCCGCACGAATCTTGTGCTTTTCCATAAAAGTTAACGAGCGATAACCCCATGTGGGTATTGGTCTAAATTCCCTATAATACGGGGTCCTATATTTGGGTTCCCATTATAATACGGGGCCCTATATAATTTTCCCCCATTTTGGGAACAGTAATTTAGGGAAACTACCATGTGCAAACGGTAGCATGATTTCATGCACACAAGTGTTGGGTCGACACACCTTTAGAAGCCAATCCCCGTGCAATGCACGTGCTCCCTACATGACTAGGAGAACGAACGTCTGCACTCCTCACATGCCAGCGGGAGCATGCCTCAACAAGCGTTATGAGGCTTGCCTACATGTCGGATCTATGGTCGTCCGCAACCAAGAGGTGTTCTAACAAGAAGAACTTGCCACATTTTGGGGCGAGATGAAAACATTTCAAGCAGGAACGAGCTGCCTCTGGGTGCCAGGACAAACCGCAAATGTCTGATTAAAACCACCCCCATTTACTTGCAACAAGATCTGATAATATCACGATTCAACTGCATAACTTCATGTTCAAAGTGTGTTGTGGGGTTTTGGCTCCAAGGACACACGCCCGCGATGGGACTTCACAAACAAAGATAGGACTTAACATACCCCGTCATGGGTAATTTTGAGCTGGATTTTGATTGATTTCTCAGGCAAGCAGACTGCAGCGGTTCTGCTGTGTGCAGCATATTCCGTGGTTGCAACACTCATCATTTTGAAGGCGGGTGGTTGTCAAGCAAAACTAACTGTGGCTGCAATTGTGCTATTCCAAAAGTGCATCTTGTCACACCTTGAGGCGATCAGCATGTTCATGCCTTTGAAGCCACGCAGCCTTCACGTAGACCTTCACGAGCGCCCCGGCTTGGAGGGACATGCAGACTCAGAATTGCCTGCTACTGACTGCTACTGTTGGAAGCCACTGGTGAGGCATCACGAGAAGGCTTACCACAGCCCAATCCGTGCCTATGTTGCCAGCGATCTTGCTGCAAAGCTGCAAGAACCCGCGGACGCTGAAAGTGGGGGTGATTCGTCCGCTTCTGAATCGGCATGATAATAGAGGTATTCTGAAGACGATGTCCAGGATAGTCGCTGATTAGACATCTCAAGCAAATGGACCTTTGCATACCGGTGCCAATCTGTTTTCCAGTGTTGCTACCTTCTTAAGGAGGTTAGTGACGTTTATTTTCCTTCAGCTGTTCGAGGCCGCCGTGGACAATGGATCCGCGCGGCTCTCAGACCATCTTCCCTATTCGCTGGAAGTGGCACCTGAGCACGGTGTTCTGTATGATTGCAAAGCAAATTTCAACAATTCATTGGTGGCGACTTCCGAGATGAGTAGCCTAGCTCTTGCCAGCCCCCCCTCCTGCAAAAGCAGAGGCACAGGGTGCGAGCCTGCTAACGACCACCATGCAGCCAATTGGCTGTCTGTCAGAAGACATCAATTTCAAGGGACAAGCTCTTGAGCAGCAGGACAGCAACAGCGAGACAACGGCACGAGTGCTTGTTGAATCTGTCATATAAATCTTTTGTCTTCATGCGCGTGTGGAGACACGAGTAGTGCAATTACATGTCTGCTCGGGCGGTGATTTGCATGTGCCCTTCTCCCCAGAATCTATGACATCTCGCAAAGTCTTGATGGAATGGTGCCCTGTTCCCTCTCTTCGGCAGCTTTTAGCTCCCAAGTCTTTCAACGTGTCGCCTGGTTTGCTTCTTCGCGTGCGCCACCTGGCAGATAACCGTTGCGGGGAGTGAACCGCGTTGACAAAAGACCGCCAAGCAAGCGAGATTTGCCAATGCAGGCTTTGCACCATGGAAGCTTCCGACATTGATCCTGCGAGCACCGTTGCTTGGATGCAAGTCATGCAAGCTAGCGCAGCCAGAAGTTGAGCATATCAAAGGGGGGAGGTGGGGGTGGTGGGATGTGCGGGGAGAGCAGTGGTGGAGCGGGGTGACTATCATCACAATGGTAGTTGCCACCATCGCTCAGCACGAGCACTTAGACTCCTCATCATATCTTTCTGTTAGCTATGCTCGTCTCGCTTGCTGTTGTCATCATGATTTCTTCTTCTCATCATCATCCTCATCATGGTTGTACCATCATCACGGTCAGCACTATCATCATCACTACCAGCATCATCATCGACATCATCCTCTAAACCGAAAGATGATTGTCATCCTTATTCATCACCAAGGTCTTCATGGTTGCCATGCCATGGCAGAAGGGCATCATGATTACCATCACCACCAGCTGTACCAGCATCATCATCATCATCATCATCATCATCATCAAGCATCCGGCAAGCATCTCGGCTCCGAGCGAGGCCCGTTAGCTTTTTATTCGGTTAAGCTCCGTGCCATTAGGCCTGCTGCGCTGCGAACATTCTGCCTACTATCCACCTTCGGGTACGACACGCTACCGGAGGAGCAGCATAGAAGTGTTCGAGCCTTCCTGGCGGCGCAATATCCACTACTGCTCACGACAGCAGAAGGCGAGCCAGCAGCGCATGCAAGATTTGCAGAATGGGCCAACACCGGAGGAAACGACCAGGTTCAAGGCCAAATGGATGCAATTCGTCAGGAAGATCATCAAAGAGCTTTGCATTTTGGTCTATCGTCACGACCTACGTCGCCAAGGCCTGTCTGAACGATCAATATCGGCCAAGGCCACCTGGGCAGGAAGGCAGATGTCTGGGGTCGGTATTCGCGATATCTGCGACCGAACCTCGGACAGGCTTCAGTATGGACGCGAAGAACTACAACTTCTCATCGCTGCTTGGGAACGAATATCCTCTCATCCAGTCGGAGAGAACGATCTGTGGTTCTACACATACTGGTTTAAAGACGATCGAGTTAATGGCAAGGATCGAGACCGGGCCTTCGAAGCTGGACTGGATCTCATTCAGAGATGGATCCGGCAGCAGCACGGCCCTAAGCCTGGAATTCTGGTTCGCAGAGCTATTGAGAGAGCTGCATGTGGCATGGGAGATGCCAAGCCGCTGCTCATTTTCACAATGCTTGGACCAGATGACAAGGCAGAGTTCTTGGACTTTGTCTATGATGGTGTTCCCATTTGCTCCTCACGAAATGACGAAGCAGAGGAGGATCAGAACAGTC